ACCGTCTAAAATAAGGATCAACTTGCAATTACTATCCAAAATATGGGAATTTTCGAAGTTAATTGGTCCTCTAAACCTGCAGACTAAATTAGACCTCGTTTAAATAACCGACCCTAAGTGTACTGAAATAGGAAATTTAGTAAAAGCTGAGTAGAAGCAGTGAAAGAAACCGGCAAACAAGTAGGGGAATGCGAGCGCAAAAGCAAGTGCAAATCTGTGAGATCATCTAAGAATGTTGGAGTGACCGTAAAACAAAAGCAATTAAAAGCAAAATTGCATCATCCAACGGTACGACGGCTCCAAAGAAAACGAGAAAGTAACTTTCCCAACGCAGAGTTCGTTAGGAGAATTTTCCATCGCTCCAACGTGAGCCTACTGTACCATGCAAAACAAGTTAGGTAAGGAGATTAAATAAGATGCGACTGTTTTAACCTGATTTATATAAATATGTTTTAAAAGGTACATTTCATTTTGTTTCTAACCGTCTTTGCTGAACGTGCTATGATCATAACTTGGCCCAGTTTTCTCCGTTGGTGTCTCCCCCGAGGCCATGGTCCATTCGAAAGTGGTGTTCACATCCGGATTAAGTTGGCACAAGTCACTTTCGAAATTGCAAAAGCCTGTTTGAAGTAACAGCAGTTAGGAAAAATATCTAACAAGTTGTCATGAGTCGGTCTTATTTTATCTTCGTTTCCATGATGCTACGGTAACAGGCCACCGCTTATGCTTGTGTCCTGTAGTTAGCAGTATTTTTCTCGGACTTACTTCTGAAGGATTCACATCTTGTTGGCCTTTTTGGGTTGTTTGATGAGCAAGCTAAGTCGTTAAGGTGGCATTCCCCAGATCCTGCAATGCAAATGATCGACTCTATGAAATACGTTACTGTCAAGCTCCAAGGATTAATTCCGCAAACTGCTGACGACATAATTACTTATTGTGAATTTGGTTCCACGCTGAAGAAAGCTTTCGTCCCCAATAAAATCTCCCTTTTCTTCACTAGTGCATAAGAACTCGTTCAAGGTAAGAATATACATATTGAACGCCTCTTGCAGTTGGAACATTTTAGAAACATCTCTTGCGTATTACGTTGGTACACTCGTAGATAATAACCTTAGCTAATTTTATGAAGAGGCAGCTTTTATCTCTAACACCTCATGATCATATCCATTTGTGGCTCTCATAGCTTGTTTTGTGATCTATCGGCCATAACTGGCCAACGACGGAATCAAAACATTATTGGTAAACAAGTTTTTTATGCTTTACTCACCGCATACTGATGGAGTGTTAGTTCCATCCTTGCAGAAAGGCTCTCGAAGACAAGTCTTTGACCAAGAAATGCATGATCCATCAACGCAGTGATGCTTAAAGGGGCACTTATTTCCTGAATGCAGTAATTCAAAACTATGTTCAAATGCAACTCAGAATAAAAAAGATAGGAAAAGCAAATAGTGAGTTGATGAATAATAAGTGTTGGTTGAAGAATGGCAGAGGCACATTTACTCACGGCAGTTATTTTCATCGTCTCCGTTAGAGCAGTCGTTTATATCGTTACATACAGCTGATGCTGGAAGACATTTTCCATCCAGACAAGCAAACTTATTGGAGGGACATTCACAATCATCTTCATCTGAATTATCGGTGCAAGCAAAGTCGCCATCACATCGCAGATTTTTCTTGACACATTCACCATTCTTGCATTGAAATTGTTTATTCCCGCAACTAAAACCTAAAAATACAATGAGATTATTATAAGCTACTGAAATATATGATTTTTCGTTTCTTTCCCTTTATCATGCATGCAAATTCAGTACAATCATTTATAACTTAATTGTATTCAAATAATTAGTGATGTTAGAGGTATTATTTTTTCGGTTTTAGGGTAACATATTTTGTCATGTTCAAAACCAGTAGGAAAAAAAAAAAAAGAGAAAAGAAGGCAAAGAAAAGAAAACCGGTAAAAGTAACCTGGTTTTGCAAAGTATGGCAGCGCGCCACATTTCTCGGTCGTTAAAATCACGTTCTTGATTGATGCATTTACTGGGTCGTGAAGAAAGCCCTCTCCCTCAAATATAATCTAGAAAGAGAAATAAAATTAAGTCCGTATCACTATGAAATTATCATCTATTATAGCAAATATCAAAAGATTAAGTATAAGTAAATTTACCCCCAGAAATAAGTCGAGAATTCTATCCAATAAAGTTTACCATCATAACTTACTTACCTGAACTGCTGTGGCGCCTGGCCAAGACACCTCCGCCGCGGACCACTCAGTACCATGATATCCACTGAGCTGCCATGCTAACATCGGCTCTTTTTTACTTGGCTCTCGAAGCAGAACTTTTAAAGTTGACTTTGATTTAACAGGCATAAGGAAAGTGAACCGTAAGCACAAGCCAACGACTTCATGAAATGGTTTCCATGGTAACAGCGGACTCTGTAGCTGCGCTTTGTAAGAGCCGTTAATGTATACAAAACCATCTGGGATAAAAATTGTACAATAAATTTCACCGGAGAAGGCCACAACGTTTCGATTAAATAATGCTTTTACAATTTAAGTGAGGGGGTCGACAAACTTTTAGATAGTTAGACACTAATGTGTGTGTATGTTTTTTTTTTTATATATAGGAATATACCGTGACAGTTTCGTCAATAACATAACATAACATAACATAATCTTTATTTCTTAAGATAAAATCACATATCCTAAGTTACAACATAAACTCACAAGGGAAACTATTACATGTCATATTTCAAAATTATCCTATTACTAAACACGTTCTCAAACCTTTCAGTGTGGATTCTAGGGACAGACACTGACGTATTTCTAAGATTTTACCTCATGTTCTTTTCCTTTGGTAAAAACTGGAAAAACGGGCATTCGGGGTCATTCGATCTTTTTTGGTAGAGTGCCTTGTCCGCCTTCTCTAGCAAATCTCTGATATCTACATTCTCGGACATAAACGTTCTTTTCAAACACCGGTCCAAAAAGTTCTGTATTATAGAAAGGTCGGAGTCTGAGGCACCATAAAACCGGCAGGGCGTAAGAAAAATTTGGTAAAACTGTTGCATTAAAAAGGTGATCTACTTCCTCTTGGGACATTCCATCCTTACGTAAAGATCCTAATATGCATCATGACTTGTTCGCCTTAATTACCTTCGCGCGCACGTGACTACTATATTTACAATTTTGTTGGAGAGTGATACCTAATATGGATAACTCTGCACATTGCGGTAAATCCCTAACTGGCGCGATGTCCTGATTCAAACCTTTCTTACGGAAAATAATCTCTTTGTATTTTGTTGGATTGCATGTCAAGCGATTGCGGCTGGACCAGCAAAGAAACTGATCCACCAAGTCAGTGCGACACTGGCCGTTTCCCCAAAAAGGGACGATAATTGTAGAGTCATCAGTATATTTAAACAAGGCTGGGCGACCTTCTACATTGAACTCTAAATCATTAATAAACACGTTAAAAAGATATGGCCCACTGACACTACCTTGTGCCGTACCCATGTTAACCTCACGCCACCGTCCCTTAAAACCGTTATAAACTACTCGCTGCTGGCGTTTCTCGAGAAAACTTAAATACTAGTTCACAATAAGGGGATTCAATGGCAAATGACCAAGCTAAGACGACAGGAGTTCATGCTTGACACAGTCAAATGCTTTGCTAAAATCCATTGCAAACACTCGGACGGCTTTGCTGTCTTGCTCGTCTATATAGGTGTAGATGATATGCTGCATGCTCAAGAGCGCATCAGTGCAACTCCCCCCTGTCTTATAAGCAAACTGTCTTATAAGTAACAGTGAACTCAGATGCTGTTCAACAATGTCTCGTGCATGGGTGTTATACACAGATTTCTCGAACGCACGTGCAATTACAAGGCGTGATCTTAATTCCTCTGAAATCCTGCTAGCCCTCAGGGATGTCAACCTTAGGGAGGGGGGACACGTGGTGAGGGGTGAATTAAAACACGAATAAAGGGGTAAATTAAAACACGAATAGAAACGAATAAAATTGAAACAAACCAGTGAATAACAACAAACCTTCACAATTTCAAAAGTATATCATTCATTTTAAAGCCTTTTGCTTCAGTAGGATTATTTTTAAATTCTACAAATGAGCGTACATTGGTGTCGTGTTCATTTGTTGCCATAAATGTAGTACGAGTTCTTTAACTTAAATAATGACAGCTACTTAACTGAAAGCTACTCACTTGCACAGTAAAATTTCCAGGTTGACTAATCGTGTTAAAAACTGCCTCAAATGATGTGTTAACACAGGACAGGCTCACTGCTGAGTTCACTGTTACATTTTGTCCAAGGGCCGAGATGTTCAGTTCCAGTGGGCAACCAGGACAATAGACTCCCTCACAGCAAAACTTGTAATATCCTATAATTTGACCAAACATGCTGTATGATTGAAATATTGTATAGTCTACATCTTTTCTTCGCCAAACTGCAACTTATGAAAATAGAATCATCAATAACCTCTCAAAATTTGTATGAAAAAAGTTCCATTAGCAAGTTTAAATACTAACCCATTGTCCATCTATCATACAAGGTAATCCTTTAACCACGCATCTCTAGTTATATTTAGTTCCTAGAGCAATCGTCAAATATTCAAGAAAAACTGGTGCTGTTCCGTCTCAGCCAAGAGACTCATCAGATACCTTTGTGAAAGGTACTCTTTAATTGGCATATTACTGAAATGTCACGTAAGACCGACAATTCATTGAAGGACGTTTTCAAGCACATGATGAGAATTTACATAGAGAAACTGTAACAAAGGAAACTAATTTGTTCCTTTTGTTTCCTTTTGTTTCCTTCTGTTTCCTTTTTTCATCTGTTTTTTGTTTTTGTCTTTGTAATTTGGACATCATCACTGTTTTGGTAACAAGTTTGGCCGCCAAGACTTAGTGAGAACGTAATTCTCTATGAGCCTGTTAGTGCCATTAAAACATAACGAGATCCTCCTTGATATTACCAGGTCCTTTAGAGGGGTTGCCTTCCACGTGATCACCCAGATCTGACCTGATCCCGAGCATTTCAACATAATTCAGACATTTTTCGGAGATGAAGGATGATATCAAGAAACCAACCTGTTACAAGTAAGTGAGACCCAACGAAGGCAGAGATCGATGTTTCGTGATTCTTAAGTGTCATTTCTAAATTACGCGTTCCTGTTGAGGAGAAATAAAATTGTACTTCATATCAAATTACGTTACAATCAAGAGTTGTTATGACACGTCAATCAAGAAAGCAGTGAAAATTAAGACATTTATCTCTTAATAAATAATGTTTTTGTCTGTTTACTCAGTAGCAAGGAACAAAAGAGATTTCATCAGCTTCTAGGAGAAGTTATGAGATTCAGCTTCGTAATTGGGATTCTGAGTTCACGAGAGAGATATAAAAAAAAACTCGTTTTAGTGGCCGGTCCGTTTTATTTCTGCGCATGCTTTTTTGTCTTCTTATTTTTGTTTCGAGTGTGAGTGCTTTTTGCTCGTGCATGTCTTCTTAATTTTTTTTCCTTTCTGGTTGCTCTTTTTTTTTTATTGACCAAATAAACGAATCAGAATTTCCTTACCCGGTTTGGTCCAAAACAGTCTTTCTCCTGTAATGGGCCGTTCATATTCTCCATTGGGTTTACGCATACCCACAGATATGTGGTCGTTGCCACCTTTTTCTCTTCCGAAGATCACCATTCGATGAAAGCGACACTTGTCAAGGACAATTGGCTGAGACGTTTGCTCTGGGTACCTTCAATAACAAAGTGATTAGAAGATATCAGTCTGAATGACAGAAAAAAAAAAAAATTACAAATATAATCCCATGCACAAAAGCATGCTTATTAATATACTGCTCGCACATTACTTACTTGTCCCATTGAAGATAGCTAGTCCATCTCTTAAGATAGATAATTGGTTGGGCCGTTACACTTTTCCCAGATTCTTTTCCAACTCTTTCGATGCCTTTCTCTGTAACATCGTGCTTCCATAACTCGCACATATCGTGGGAAGCCACATAAAATGTGTAATTTCCGCTCAGAGGAACCTGAAACAGGTATTTGATAAAATAAAAAAAAAACCATGGCAATAACAATATGAAAAACACCAACATAACAACGAACTTCATTTCAATATGTTAAAAAAGGCATGATTACAGCGTTTTCCTTTATACTGTCTTTCATTTTACATACTCCATGTTTTGCGAAAGGAAAAGCGTAGCTAATTTATCGGGTGAGAGTAAAAGTTGCTTTGGATTACATTTAGCGCAAAAGCTTGATAACCTAACAACCCATTTGGTGCACTCCATTTGAGAGAATAAATGTAAAAATACCATTTCTATGTTACTATAAATACCTCAATTAAAGGGAAGAGACTTTCTCAGTATGACAAGATGTGCCTTTTTCGGAGAGTTTACCTGTAGGTAGCTGGTCAGTCGTTGAACATAGTTCTCTGCCAGATTTATTGGCGCATTAAAATCTCGCAAAATAATTCGGCTTTCAGGTGCACCTTCGATAAGAGGATGCTCACGCATAGATGTCGCCTTTTTGGAGTCATATTGATGTTTATTGTACCATCCTTCTCGCAAAACTCCGTGTACCTCTCTTGTCGACTCTACATCAAGTCAAACATTGAATATGTTAACTATCACAAGTTAAGCGGAGTAGCCACCAAAAATATATCTTACGTCCATTTATGTTTGCAAAAAGCCAAAGAAAATTCCCATATCTTTCTCCCTAGATGGTTGGGATGCTCTTAAATCACAGTAGCTCACTTCTATATTAACGTATTACAAAGCAACTGTGATATCTGCTACCCTAGAATGTAAAATAAGCTCGGTTAGCTTCATTCTTTCCCTTACCAAAAAAGCGTGTAGGCCAAAAGAAAAATATTGAATAAATTTTCTAATAACTTACCAATTGTTTCCACGACGATATGGCAGAGAACTAGTGTGACATTATCACCCGTCAACGTTATTTTCACTTGATTTCCGAGCGCGGGTGGTGAGCAATGAAATATGAATTCCTGTGTTGTTCCATCATATGCCATCGATTTGTAACATGTTGGAGACAATCCAGTTTTACTGGATGACACACCTATACTGATGATTCCATAGTCTCTTGGACAGCAATCGGTTTTGTCAGTAATTGAAACAGAAACGACATACAGCGGTTTGTCAAGGGCTGCTTGCCACCAGGGATTTGACTCCTAAACCGAAGAGAGCGTTAAAAGCAATGTAGAAAAGATGGAGCAAAAMTTTTTGGTCATACCGGAACAAATAATATTCTAGTCCATATATTGCTACAGCGTCCAATCCGAAAAAGAGGAAACACTCAGCAACATATTTAACATGCCAGTTTAACAACCAAGGACATTTTGTACATTTACTTACCTTCAAAGAACGAAAGCACGTTGAGTAGGATCGATCTATGGCCAGGATGGGTTCAAACGGCTGAAAAATGCTTGAACTTCCTATCAAACTCCGGTTTGACAATGATTCTTCTACAATGCAGTAGATATCACTGTTATATACAGCAGAAAACCCCCACAAGTGATACAAGTAGAGAAGTTCGCTAAATCAAAGCTATTCCTTAACATGGACGAAAATACATCATGAGGATCAGTTGACACGCTAAATGTTGCTGGCGAATGTTTGGTTTATTGGAGCTCGTCGCAGAGCTTAAGAAAAGGTGAACCATATGGAAGCGACTCACCCACACACCCAATGAGATGGGTGCCCTGCAATTTTATGGAAGGCATGGCTTTTTACATTTGTACAGGTCATCACCTAACTAACATAAAGCTATTTGAAGAGAGAGAGTCGCACAAAAAGGAAGGCTTGTACACTGCAATGACTCTTGCGTTTCCTCAATTTTTTTGTTGGTGAACGAAAATTAGGAAATAAACTATCAAAAAAAGAAAACTAATAAATGATTGCACCAAGCAATTTCAAATCGTTATCATGAGACTATGGAG